TAGTGTACTTTTGGGCCAAAATGGAGAAATAAATACATCAAACCTAAATGATGGTGGAGGCGAAGTAAATTGGCTGATCTCCCTTCATTTCCTGCTACCACCCGTAGTGGGCAGTATTTGTTGCCAGTGTCCAGATTATCCACCCCCACTAGTTTCTTCTTTTTATCACGATCCCTCCACTGAGATTGACGGGTGAGGACATGCTTACACCAGATGTTAGGGGATCTGTGATGGAGCTCTTCTCTGCAGGGGAAGGAACTTATAAGCTGTATCTCAACCAACCCTTGCTAACTAGAGAATCTGGGGCTATAATTCCTGTATAAAAATGTCTTGCCAAATCCCCAATATGCTTTATTTGGAAAGAGACCAAAGGATCTCTTGTTGGGGAGAGGATTGAGATGGGGAGAGCAGAACTGGATCATAAGAATACTATCCTATACGTTTCTGTTGAGGAGTAAACCACTGATTTTCATGGGTCTTACTCCAAAGAAAATGTGTTAATAAAACCAGTAAAACAATATTGGTGGAAGGCACTCCACAAAAGTATTTGTCTCTGGAATTACCATGTAATTCAAAATAAACTAACAATGTTCGAATCACTCTTTCATGTCAGTGAACGCATAGTTGAAGGTCATATTAATTTGGCATCAGATGAAAGTTAACTCTAGGTTGGAATGGGATTTGCTAGGAAGAGAACTTTTTTTCTTTCTAACCAAATCAGCTAGGGAATCAAAGGATCATCTATAAAAAGGAATCTCCCATACTTCCTTGGCAAGGAGTTGTGTAACTGCAGAACAAATGTTGTGGTCCATAAATGTGGCTGATAGGAGTTATGCTCTAAAACAACTGGAAAGCAACATGTTGCTTAGCTGGAGTATCAGCTTGTTGGCCACTTTGGAAGCTGCCCCACACCAAAAACTCTCCCTGGCATGGGGGTCAGGAGGTTAGGTGAGCCTGTGAGATATAGTCATTACAATCCTTGGCTGCCATTTTTCCTCTTTCTTCTCAATTTTTATTTTGTATTATTAAATTGATGATTTTTGTGTTCCCCTCTCAAAGTCGATCATGCAAGATGGAGGGGGCTGTATGAATTGAATTAAATAAAAATAAAATGTAATACATTAAATAAAAGTGAGCCAAATCCTCATGCAGCTCTTCAGCAAGAGTTGTAGAGATGAATGGGATAAGGTTCCAAGAATTCCAGCAAGTGAACCATTTCCCATTTAGAATCAATGTATCTCCATGGGTTTTAGGGCAGAGACGTTCTGAGTTTCTTTCTAATAGGCTTCCTTTGATCTGGCAGAGAGGTGGAAGTTTGCAACTGGCTGTTTACACAATGTCTCCTGAATCTTTATCAGTCTGGGAACCAACTAGTACATGGTTCTATCATGCATCCTGTACTGTGGAACTCCTGAACAGAAAATCAGTAGTTCCATAACTGAACTGTGGATTTTTTAATACTGATCTATCAACAACAAAATAAGGAAGTTCTGAGTAGACGGTAGCCCTCACTCCTTGCATTCTGCTTTCTCTGCAGGTCTTGGTTTGGACTGGCTGAAGAGCTGCCATTCTAAATTAATCTCAGCTTTCAGTCTTTGGGACACAATTAGCAGGCTTTAATTGTGAGTATGACTGAAGGGTAACCTTTTAAAATCCTTGCTATTTTGTTCTGGTACTTCATTTTTGTCACAGACCTACATTTTCTTATACTAGAAGAATGCTACAACAAATAATTTCATAATGTTTTCACTGCAAGAAAACCTACCTGGTCTGAGAAATGACTACTCTACTCAGACAGAAGACAATTAAAAATCCTGCCCTGATGAACCCTACTTTACTTTTTTCCTCAGAGAAATAGTGATTATGAATCCCTTCAACACAGTAGCTGGAAGTGATGGAAATTGTAATTCAATGTGTATGGGGCTGCCAGGCTGGTCAAGACAGGGTTAGATAAATTCCAAAGCTTCATTGGGTTTGAAAAATAAAAAGAGTAGTCCATGTTTGAGGAATAATTATACTCAAGCTTGGATTTAGAGCATAGCATTATACTTAACTCTCTCTTGACAAAAGTGAGAGACCAACCTTTTAGCTTTGTCTTGTGTCCAATAAGTATTCTCCTCAGGCAAACATTCTTGGAGGACATTCTTTTACATCATCTTCAGTTCTTAGAAATCTTCATTCCAAGCTCTATTTGTTTGTCAGATAGCTCCAAAAAGTTAGTGTTATCATCAAAAGAGAATAGTGGAAAGGCATTTTTTATACTGCAAATGATATACTCCCATATTTTTGCAAAAGATTCCCATATTTTGTGTGTGTGTGTGTGTGTGTGTGTGTGTCTGAGAGAGAGAGAACCCTCTCAAATTGTTAAATATGCCTTTAAAAAAGAGAGAAAAATGTCTCTTTGGGTTTTTAAATCTGTTTTCCACAAGGAGTAAAATCTGTCATGGGTCATCTACCATGAAGCTTAGCTTTGAAAGCTTGATTCAAAGTGAGACTGACTCTTAAAGCCAGCACGAGTCAAACAAACAGTGCCTTTGCAATATCAACTGCTCTGTTAGGCTGAAAACACAAAACTTGAATAGCATCTTTTGTTGATGATGGCACTGCCTTTTCTGAAATATCTCAGCCTTGGGCAAAGACTGCAGCCCTCTTTAGAAGCATGAAATCTAGACAATTTCATGCATAATTTGAGGCTTTGGAGTGTAAGGCATGTCTAGAGATGCTGGATAATGCAATGGTTTTGGAAAAGAGGGTCCCAACTGGTGTTGTGTGAAGTCCCCCCCCCCCATTGTTCATGATGATTTCTGACAACCTGCATGCTATCATCATGCACTCAGGACACAGATCTACAATATTTAATTTTTATTTGAGAGTATTTCATCTGCAGTCAGTTTAATGCCATGTTTAGTCATGGCACTGAATTTCTGAATGGCTTGTGTGATAATGCTAGCAGGACAGGACCTCCAGACCAAAATCAGGGATCCCAAATGAGCAAGTGATGAGTGCAGTCACAAATATGTCTGGAATCAGCACGTCAATTGATGCTGGTCTTTGCAGGCTGTAGCATTCTTTATTTCTAATTATTTTTTTAAATAATGGCCAAGCTAAATGCATGTGATCAGGCCTGGGGCTCCCAGGGGAGATTTTACGATGGCTCCCTTATTCCTGTTATCCCCTCCTATTTTGTGTGTTTTTACAGTTTTTTATGTGTAATTGTTTTTATGTATTTATTTTTTAAATTGTTGTACGCCGCCCAGAGACGCCTCATGTGAGATGGGCGGCTATATAAATATGATTAATAAAACAATAAATTGTGATCAGGCCTGGGGCTCCCAGGGGAGATTTTACGATGGCTCCCTTATTCCTGTTATCCCCTCCTATTTTGTGTGTTTTTACAGTTTTTTATGTGTAATTGTTTTTATGTATTTATTTTTTAAATTGTTGTACGCCGCCCAGAGACGCCTCATGTGAGATGGGCGGCTATATAAATATGATTAATAAAACAATAAATAAATGTCAAGTCTATTCTTCATCAATGCCTAGTTTAAAAAAAAAAGCCAAAAAGCTATCTTGCATTTTTCATGAGCTCACTTGTAAAATGTTAAATTGGAAGTGCTTGTTGTTCCGTTTTCCCCCACCAGAAAATGTTTCCCTGTCGGTGAGTTTCATGCACTGATCAATTGTGCGCACTTTGCTTTGCCTTCTTGCACCTTTTCCCCACCAAATGGGTTAGGGTGATCGATCAGTGATTGACAGTTACTTCTGTGCCCATGATGCAGTCACAACAAGGATATCGCACCCATTGAGGATGTCTGCAGTGGGCAAAAACTTTTCTGACAGGAGACTGGGCAAAAAGGAATAAGAGCTGCTTGTTGATTTTCTTTGTGTGCCCCAGCTAATAAATCATAACCATAATCATCTCTAAAATTCTTTTAAAGTTCTTTTTATTATTCTCATCATTTCAGCTTTAATCCTTTTATCTCCTATCTGTTATCTGTGTAGAGTAGTTCTTATGTGACCATCATGACCTTTCTGTATTTTGGAAAAGGAAAAAGGAATAAACAGTTTTAAAAAATGAAAATACAGATTATCCTGATAAAGATACACATTGCATTTAAGATGCACTCGGCCAAATAAATTCTATTTCCAGTGCATCTTGAACACATTTTTTAAAAAGTGTAAACCATTTCTGACAGTTCTGCTATAATTTCCTATAAAAGGAGGAAAGAAGGTCACTGGGGGTTCACTTTCAAGTATTTCTTGATTTATTTTATTTAAATCTTTATAGGCCATCTTTAGGATTAAAATTCTTCCAAGACAGCTTCCAATAGTCAGCATAAAATACAAATAAACTTCAAGTAAAGCAACCATGAATAAGAGCCAATAATAATAATAATAAACCATCTGGCTCAGAGCAGGATTTACAAATAGGAGGGGTGCAGAAATTCTCCACTGCTCCGACTCCCCACATTGCTAGAAACTGGTTAATCTCCTAGTATGCGGTTGAGGCCAGAAGTAGCCACCTTTGGAAAAGACATTCCTGAGGAGGAAAGAAGTTTCTATTGGGGAGGGATTGATTATTCAAAGAGGAAGAGTTAATGGCCTTCCTACCTACTTCTTGTGCTAGGGTTTAAATGGACTGCCACCACTTTATGGGAAATCAGTTCAACTCTTAGTCAGACACATAGGTCACGCTACTGTAACAGTGGCCCCAAACATCTGCTTCAGAAATTATATGAGAGGTTTATTTAAATGAGTTTTGCCAAAATTGCTCATGAACATCTTGTTTCCATAAGTGCCTTTTGTGGGGAGGGGGAAGATAATAAAGGGGTGTATGTGTGATATATGTGTAATATGTGAGACCCAGTTTGGTGTAGTGGTTAAGGCATCAGGTGTCAGGCCTAGCCCAAGGAACTCCAAGAGACCATGTAAATTCAGTCCAGCTATGTTTATTAGCTACAACCTCTAGCAAGAAACTTCCCAGACTGAAACCCCAACTCCCAAGTAATGCCAGCCACAACACTGTGAATTCCTCAGGGAGGTGCCAGTCTAATCCTCTTGTATCTCCCACACTCCTCAGGAGATGTAAAAAAATGTTTTTCTCCCTGAGCCTGGCCTTCATAATTCCATTCCATCACACCAGGCTAGAAACCAGGAGACCGTGAGTTCTAGTGCCACCTTAGGCCCAAAGCCAGCTGGATGACCTTGGGCCAGTCTCTTAGCCCTAGGAAGGAGCCAATGGCAAACCACGTCCAAAAAAACTTGCCAAGAAAACTGCAGGGACTAATCCAGGAAGTCACCAGGAGTCAACACTGACTCAAAGGCACAGACTCACATACATGTGTGATAAGAAAAGTCCACGTACAACATTCAAAGCGTACAAACTGGGTGCAAATCCACATTTTGAATGAATTTTTACAATGGATTATAAACTCTCCAAGTCTACTGCTTCCTGCCGGGAGCAGGAATTCAAAAACAGAATGCAAATCTCTTAAGGGGTCAGAATTTTTCTACTTCTTTCACTGGGGTATATTGTCCAGTATCAGTGGCAGGAATTCTATCCATTTGCTGTATAATGCCCAATTGTGGATACACTGATCTCTAAAATAATCCTTATTCAAAAATATATATAAAAAAACAATAATTTCATTTAGAGGGCACTTAACATGGTGGGAACATCAGTGAACATTTATTCAAAAATATGTAAGTTGGCAATCATTTCATTAATTAAAAAATTAGAATTAGATAACATTCAATATGGCTGGAAAACCATTGCATTTAAACCAAGGAAGTCCAATAGAAGAAATGGAACTCAAAGGTAAATTATCTTATTAAGGATGCAACGATAGAATAGCTAGAGTAGATTCATATATTCATGTATGATCGCTTTTCCAATGTTGACCTTTCCAGATGTACGGCAGCTACAATCTCAGAATTCTGTGTCATGTGGAGACACCTCGATGGGGAAGATATAAAATCTATCGCTGTGCTTGCATCAACCTCAAATACCTGTATGATGAAAATGTCCATGCCCATCCCCTTTTCATGCCAAACATTTGAAGAGATGTATCTCTGTCATCTCAGACACATGCACTTTATGTATACCCATGACACAAGTAGGGAGTGGCAAAAATGGTCATAACCACTGTTTTCCTCTCAACAATACAACCAGGGTCAAGGGGGATTTTCAGAGTTACAAGAATGGAAGGAAATGATTAACTTCCTTCTCCATCCATCTCCTCATCCCATTACAGATCAACACCTCTTCCCCAGCAGAAGCCATCTGCACTTTAAGAACCTGCGCGTTCAATGCAAAAAGACACTCACGTCATGGGAAGTTTGGCTTCAGATCTGAAGCATTTGTCAACTTTAATGCTTCAAATTCTTGGCAGAACCTTATTATTCTTGTAGTCTGGCATTAGGGATCAGCATGGTTGGATCTCAAGTGCAGAGAAGGCCTGCCAAGCCTGCATCTATGGAACCACCTTCATCATTTGCTACAGCAGCCACTCATTTCACCTCCCACTTGGCAAATTTTTCTAGGCAGCAGCAGCTCTGAATGGGCTGAAGCTAGGTCAGCACTTAGTACTACTCTTTGCCAGCCGCCTCCCAGGTTAGATGA